GCAATGAATCGTGAAGTAACCAAAGGTGTGACTATTTAAATTGTATACGTTACGTTACACATCATACCCGTTATTTCTGATTTAGTTATTTTCCTGTTGTAATCATATATATCAATGTTACCTCAGGTTTCTACTGTATAAAGGTTTGTGTCTCATTGATTAGTTATTCAAGTTAGATAATCATTCACCAAAATTCAGTCGGTAGCATAGAACCTTAAAACAAATATAGATAATCAAGTGTCACGTGATGTTTAGGGTGCAGCTAAAATTTAGTTGTTCATCTAAATCTCATTAAAATAGTTCAATAGGATTATCTGATCTATACAACGAATACAATTCTGTGCACATTAAAACTCGCGTAGCAGTTAACCAAACCAAAATTTCGGAAATGAAGTTCACCCCACAGTAAGACTGCGTCTGCCCTTGAGCGATATTTTTGCCTAAACTTCAGTTATACTTACAGTTTTCAGTGCGATGATGATTTTCCCTTCCGCATCACACGATTTCGCCCCTTCAATTTTGTTTTGGGGGTTCAAGATTTGTTTTATTTGCATTGGCGATGTTTTATATTTCTTTTCTGCTTTAACTCAAACTGAAACTAATTATTAAANCAAACTTTTTCCCCCCCCCCCCCCCTCCCCTTACTTTTGAAGGAGGAACAAATCAATACATATCTGTACATGCAAATACATTTGTTTTGGAGATGTACTTGTTTAAGGGTATGGAAGGTTGAACTTACTCCAAGACATTGTCTTTGAGTTTCGATCTTGTCATATGTGTCGATGCTTCGCTTTTCCATAAAGAGAAATCGCGAATCGTATGAAGCTATTTGTCGTTAGTTGACATAGTACACCCAGCGCGGAATGACAGACAGACGACATGCCAGTATAGTGGTACACGGAGGAATGTTTCGGGGGATACTCGAACCTCACCTGGTAGCACGATCATTTTGCTTTTAAACATTGTAACATGTTACATGTGTATGAGCCACACGGGTATTCAGCGCGGACAGACGGCCCCTGTTTGGGATACGATGATATGCAGTTTAGGGTCGTATTACAGTATATTACTATCTGCAATCATCAAATAACATCAGCTTATGGGCTTATCATTAAAATATTTTCCATAAATTATATAATGAAAACGTTTTAAAGTATAAACATTTCTTATTCAACCGTAATAGCATCTACTCTATTGCATTTTCTATATAAAAACAATATATACTTAGTCTTAGTCTCAAATGCTTTGAAAGCGCTACACGTGTACTACGCTAATGACCGGATTACCGGGATGAATGTCATGCTGTAGATTATTTTCCATAAATCATATAATGAAAGAAATAATAGTATAAACATATTTTTAGTCAACCATTATGGCGTCTAGTCTATTGCATTTTCTTTATAAAAAAACTACTGATATTATTATATACTTAGTGTTAGACGCAAATGCCTTGAAAACGCTACACAGGTGCTATGCTAATGACCGGGTTGGCCGGAGTAATGTCATGCTCTGGTACTGACGTCATGGCATTTCAGTGAAATAGCACTTAGAGCGGTCCTGAAGTGTTTCAAGCAATATTTGACATTGTCCTTACAGTACGCAAACCCCGAATAACAACATCAAATTACCATGTTGATAAATACATTTTATAGATTCCTTGTTGCTCATCAGATCTTTATATTTTCCATGACCTGGATGATGAGTGTCGATTTTAATTTTTGAAAAATGATTATTCGTTGACGACATCTAATACCTGTTTACTACTTTCATTCATTAAGAGTCAAACTTATTACACGCGTTTGATATTGATTTGTATCTACACCTTGAAAATTAGTTCAAACTAGTGAGTTTTTCTTTTACTCAATAAATCAACACTTATTTTAATGTATATGTTCTACACCTTTTGATTAATTAAAACTTTACGAAATGAACTGTATTGACGGATCGTTTGTAAGATAGACACCCTGGGGTTTGAAAGGAATGGTTAGTGTTTGGATAAGTTAACGTTTGAAGGTGTTATTGCTTTGGAACATTTAATTAAAATGTTGCGTTCGTGAAGAAATATTTTATTTCAGAAAAAGACATAGAGGAGAATTGTGTAATGAGCTTGAAATATAACCACTTTCATATCACCTAGTACCAGGCAATATTTTTAGATACCTTTCAAGAATAAATCAATGTGATAGATAAATCAATATTTAAATCCCTTCGATAAACTGTAAACTGGTTCAAGACTGTCTATAAAATAACAAGGCTAGGAGGAAACGTAGTCGTCAATTAAGTAAAAACGTTATTTGAAACAGAAAATAGTCATTGATAGTTCAAATGTTTATTAATCGTGATGTTCAAACTATTATTTTTTTCCTATTAATTAGTCATGCATATGTGAACGTGATATTTTCTGATTATGTTCTCTGGTGCTACATATGTACTTGCTTAAAACATGACATGACTGGTATATTCACATTTCGGATTTCTAAATAAAAGATGCAAGTGTCCTGTCAACCCATATGCACTTGACATTTCACGTTAATTTTCCAAAAGTCGCTTCAAGCCAGTTATAAATTCGTTTGATCGAACAAAAGATTTTGGGAATCTTAACATACGTCAACCATGCCCAAACAAATTCGACCATAAATATGTACACATGGATTTACGATCTATCTGAATGGTAGATAACGATAGTTTCGTGCTTCTTACAATCGTATTATTTTCTGTAGTTTCTACTTTCATAAGTATCGGATTAGGTACCTAGGTCATTAATCCAAACCTTCTATATGATTGGTCACCGTGTAGCTCTAATTAATTGATGATCACCGTGTTCTCTGCAAATCCGCAACCATGAACTATTACATCTAGACAAATCTACGTGTTCGTGAGTAACAGTTGAAAGATATCACTTTAATGATTATTTTAGGTAAATTTCATTTTAAGTCGTATACTTGGGGCATGAACAAATACATGAACATTACTTATGTGACCTTGTTATTATGACGTTACATTTTGATTTAAGTATGACGTCGTGATAGAAAGGATACGTGATATCATATACTTAAAAATGGCGTCGTTGAAATATTACGATGATCAGTTAAACGTGGCCAAGTTCATGTTATCTGCAAGAATTCTTGGTTATTTGATAAATTTTACTGAATATGTTTCTATAGCACGAAAGATTATTAAAACTAAGCCTTGTTCCATCATTATGGATCCTATTTACAATGTAATTACCAATGCATAACGATCTGAAATATTTCATGAGATATCTTACCATCTGCATATGCGTATTGTTCTTCGTACTTTTACTTTCTTTAGATACTAATTATTTTTATGAACGGGTGCGAGAAAGGATAGATTATGGGTTTTGTTTGGTTTGGTTTAATTTTGTTTAACGTCCTATTTACAGCTAAGGTCATTTAAGGACGTGCCTCCATGTGTGTAGTGTATGCGTGCTCGCGTGTGTGTATGCATGAGCCAGTGTATATTGGTGTGATTGTGGGCATCATTCTTTTGACACGCTCATTCTACAAAGACCGATTAACAATAACAGCGTCATATCACGTTTATTAAGTTTCTGAATCATAAATTATTATTGGAATATTTCGACAGACATTGTACATTCACTACAAAACCATGACATGCCGCTACACGTGAGAAATGTAAAGACAAGGGGCATATTTACATATCATAGTTCAGGTATCTGTTTAAGAGTACTTTCAACTAACATGCATATACATGCGATGGGTTTTTAGTCTTCCATGTATCTGAACAACCTAGCTAGCTTAACGGTTAACTAACGGAAATGCACGCCTCATCATAGTTTGATTTACAATGTTAGATAAAAAATAGAAATATAATCCCCAAAAAGTTTCCATATGTAATCCAACAAATAAAAAATATTAGCATTTTGCTCAAATTTACAACCAGTGATAAACGTTGAAACTATGGGAAATGTTTTATCAAGCTAAGGGTTCAGGACAGAAGGACCCGTATGAGATAGTGTGGATCAGGGGTCGGCTTGCCTGTGTAAACACTATTGGTTATATGTCTCAAAAGGAGCACAGGGGTCTCTGTCACGTGGTTTTATGTGTATGGGGACGCGTGAGTTTACCCGAACTGTGGACACAGCCTGTCAGCAAATGACAGGCGTATTAAGAAACAAAGGAATGAAATCGTTTTATAATTTGATGTAAGGGTGTATACTTACATTGGTTTTGTCTTTGAATCTTTGAACACGGTATGGCCCTGTGTGTCTCGTTATAAATCCACACTTGATATGACTGGATCATGTAATTTATTGTGTACTTGAAATGTTTACTTCAGCTGGAGAAGTGAGTTGGGGTAGAAATGTAATCCATATATTTTCAGTTTCGTATTTGATAGGTGTTGACATATTGCAATATATTTCACATGAAACATGTCCCGTTTTACCTCTACTTCTGCGTCTCAATCCGTAGTGCGCTTGATAAAAGACAGTTTGCAATGTTTCGGTTGCTAGAAAAGACAGCCTTTTTCGTTGGTTACAATAATATCCCTCGAGTTATCATCTTATGTAAATCAGCATTTGTTACATTGGTTTAGTCATGCAATGCAAGCATCATACATGTAGCTTGGCTTACAGAATCATCGACATTTTAAAAACACTTTACATACTTCCTGAAACTAGGTTTTATCAAGAAAAACGTGAATTTTGTAGTCTGCAAATGCAGTATACATAATATTTACAATAGAGAGAGTGCATTTGTAATATTATTATTTTTACTGACAGGTATACTCTCAATCAATTATGACAGTTCGGACAAATAGATGAAATATATTGATAAAGTGTCTCATATTATTTCACATTTTATCTTTCATACGAAAATACGTGTTGATTACTGTCAGTTAGCTTCTCAAAATGGCGTTGCAATGGTTGTTTAGTCGCGGTTACCCAGTTGTATAATCATAACGGTTTTCTGTCAATTCTGTTATGATATTTCATTGCATCTTTTTGTTTTTTATAGAGTTGCGGACATGGATGGACGTCGATGAAGGGACGTGTTATATTTTGGTTCCAGCTTAACTACGTTACAAACACGGGTTACGTAATGTTCAAGCTGTACGGTCAGCAATGCCAGAGGTGTAAAAATGGAACGTATGAACACGCCATGTGGTATCCAGAGGAAGTTGTCAAGGTAATGTAATAAATAAAACCAACCGAGTAAACTTTACGGAACACGCTCACTTCATACTTATGTTTGGGATTAGATTTATAATATGATTTATATTGATTTAAATCTTTCGAACGGATATTGTTTCTGATAATAATAATAAAACTAATGATAAACGTTATTTATTGAGGATTAAAAACACGATTAAGCCAAATGCTAATCTCCCTCAGGGTCATTTATATAAGTAAAAAGTTTTACATAGTATTTTTTAAAACAAAGTAATATAAATTAAACATAAATTACATTTAAAAATATAAGTTATGAGATTCTAAAATATTCTGAATTATATAATATTCAAAAAACATAACGAAATATTTTGATTGAAATGCTACTTTAGTCCATATCTTTATTACAATATTATAAGATATATATTATAAAGCGGACGAGATTTTCTCTCAAATTAAAGCAAAAACTACCAGTCTTATAAAATATCGGTAATTCATGAAAATATGAAAAATATTATTCTTCATGACAGTAGCTATCGATACATTTTGTGTGTCAATGACCAATAATCAGTATATATTAAAAAAGTCCTTTTAAAAGATACATTAAACGTCAATAATTAAAAAAGCAGATAAACCTCAGTATTAGCAATGATTTATTCTTTGCGATATGTATTGTCACACATCACATTAATCATTTAAAGTACCGATTCGGTCAGGACGCTTGAAACAAAATAAACCATTGATGGGTCATGGTAACGATGATTCTGTGAAGTCTTTGAGACGATGTTTATGCTAATGTTATATGAATTTTTCAAAAGTGTCTTTCGTTAATTCCTATTTAGGTTCTCGGAAATGTGTACAACCGAGTTGGACAGATATACTATGGCTTTATACGTCCACCACTGCGGATAGACAGAAGAGCAGGCAAGCCAAGAAACCAACACAACGCAGAACTATGCCAAGCCTGCAAGGAGGGTCTATGTCGGGAGGAATGGTCTTTTTCCTGAAGTAAACACCATCTGTAATGTGTGTTTATCATACATATAAAGGGCAGTAACTTGGATTTACTTTTACGCTGATGAGGACCAGGCATTGAACGTTAAACGTGAATAGAAATGAACTGACGATACAATGAATCTAGAATTTATTACTGAGACATTATTTGATCATCAAACATTTGTTCTTAATGCAATGATATAAAACTGTTATGTGAAACATTTGCTGTTTAAGTAGCAACAGTGTGCTCATTATTATTTTTTATTTTTAAATATTTTGTACATATAATATATGATTTTATCAATTGTTTTGAATTTTACATTCACATTAAAGATTGTTGAACAGTTATGTTCATATGTTTAGTTTAGAATTATATAAACTTGTGTTCAGTATGCAGATGATGGCGTTGAACATGCTTGCATCATCATTATGTTTCTTTGAGTATTTCTTCTAGATCTGCATAACATTTAATGAAACATTTTGCTATGGTCCAGATGTGGGAGCATTGTCTCTATCTGATGATCCAAGCTCACGAAAAGAAGAGGCTGCATTTGCATAAAACAAATATTGTGCATAATGTACAGTCTTATATTTTATATAGTTTTGCCAGCATTTGTCTGAGTATAAATCTGTTCTTTTATTATAGCATACATTTATATTTAATGTAAATATTATAACGTTAAGATGCAATGTTATCTTTGATTTGCCTGTAACTCCATAATAGACACGAATATTTTATAACATATTGTATTAAGCATATATTGATGTGCACGTGTTTTTGTCAAACTGTTAACATGTGCTTTCTGCTGCATGTCTATATTCCATATCTTTCCGAACAAGTACCACAACTGATTTCATAATAATGTGCTAACAATATAACTGTAAATCATAATGTTGGCTCCGACATCATATCAACATATTTTGACTGCCACCATGAGTATATAAATCAACAAATGAATACATATTTAGCAATTGTCTCATAAGCTGAAGATTTCATTTTATATTCTTTGCATATTTCCCATTTGTTTGATTTTGAACAAACCCTGAATATGCGGGTAAATATACGAAATAAATGAATACAAATGTGTTAAAATATCAACAACCCCCTTGTAGTATTACAGTTACAGTTACCTATATAACGCCATAAGATAGCAAACTGTACAAATTATATACCCAATATTATTAGCAATTGTGCAATCTTAAAGTGTTTAAAACAGTATTTTTTAATGAGTCCCATGTTCAATGATCAAACCGTACAATATAGTACATATTTACAAAACTACGAGGAACCGACAGTCGTAGTGTTTGTAATTTCAACTCTAAAGTGTATAGGTTATTTTATGATTGTCTAATACTTATTCATTATTACAATACATCTACAAATGGTTCCTTTTTTATATGAAGACAAAACAACAGATAAAGACTGCGTAGATAATAGCAAATTATGATACGAAAATTTTGACAAAAAATATCTTGAGAATGGAATTTTTATTTTTTCACATACATGTAACTACAAATTTGTGACACTGCATTTTCAACTTTTACATATCAGAGTTTTATTTGAAATGTTCCTGGATGTCATGTGACGATTTTTCCGCCAAATAGATATAATTTTGGTTGATACATAATGTGCCTTATTTGTATATATATTGTTGTATTATATTTTATTATAAAATACATGTGTGTAATTCCTCTAGTGTCGCTCTATGTTGTACTATTTGTATTGGTCTTATTAAATAAGACTGCTCATAGATTGTATTTTAATGGAACACAGGGTCTTGTATCAAAATGGTTCTGTAATATTTTCACTTGTTTTTTTTCCTCAATTAAACATTTTAATTTGATATTTTGGAATTGATGCATCAAAGAGAAAAATATTTGAACTTTGGGTTAAAATAAAAATAATTTCGCTTTTAAAAAATTACTAAAAATCGTTGAGAAATGAAGTTTTTGAAACCTATGTGGTAAACTAACAAATAACAAGACCCCGTGTTACTATTGGTTTAAAACATTCATAATATATACATGTTCATCTTAAGATATGTTTGTTTCTGTTTGGCGTGTTGGCTACGGCATTAGGCCATCGTTCCGTGTTAGCTCGTATCGAATTGTTTTGTTTGACGTGAGTGTTTGAAATTTTATTTATAACTTGTTAGCTTCAAAAATACATTAATCTTAATCAAAATATAAATTTTATACTGGATGAAGTCTTTTCGACGTATCCGTTCCGCTGGAATGTTTACATGTTTTGTGTTATAATTTGAATAATTTACCTTCCAATAAATATTTATTATGTGAAAGTTGCAGTATGGCAAGAATATATTTTATTTAAAAAATAGATTTGAAAAAAGTATATATAACACATTAATAACAATAATTTCTATTTGTTTATGAAATTATACATAAATACCTCTTTCACAAAATATAATTTACGAAGTTGAATTAATAAAACAACAAATCTGAACATGCAGAGGTATTTTCATTGGTGGACGCTGTTCGGTACTGCTCTATATTTTTCGTTTGAGCGATGCAAACTAAAGGTTCGCGTGGTACCTATTGTTTCATAACTTTACGTAAAACATCGATCAGACATAAAAGTTTCATGCAAAAAATTGATGTTTTATAACAGAGGACAAACATTGACAGTAAAGAAAAATGATTTCCTCGACAAGATTATCAATGCCATAAATACTGAACCTAGCTGTGTTTATTTTCTAATGTTAAAGTGCTAATGATGATTAAATTAAAATTAGAGCGCACGGCATCCTTTGAGTATGTATATGTGAATGTGAATCTTTAAAACTGTCAAATAATTTAATGTTTCCTGTTTGCATGTTTGCAATATGAAGTTTTTATATTGTCTATTTGAATTTCAAATAAAAACCTCTCAAGCATTTAAAGTCATGTGTTTGATTGGTTTTTTTTTCTTTTCTTGTAAAGCACATACAAATTGCTTTCTCTTATCCTTATATATTTGTTATACCTCCACAACAAAAGAATAAATAAATCAAAGTAGATAATTAATATGCCAAATAAATATTCCAAAATGTTATCTATTTTTATAGTATGTTATTGTATTTTTATGCGTACTCCATTTCGAAGGATTTATGACTGAAACAGTAATAACAAAGTTATCAGTGTATCAATACCTTCTATCAGTAAACAAAAAAAGTACCCAGATAAACACTCGCTTCACAATATATTTCATACAATACATGTAGTGGGTTTGGTCATTTGATTTTCATGCTTTTTAATAACAGATTGACTAATGCTATACTTATTGATTAAAATTTCAATAGAAGATTTTGACACTGTAATTTGAGATATTCTGAAGTATAAAGGTGTTTTTAATGGCTTCAATTTAATTCAAAGTGGTAGCAATAAAGCCGCTTTAGCGGCGCGATATGCCTTTTCATTACCTGGTATTCCTACATGTCTGGAAACCAAGCATAATGCAATTTGACCAGAAGAGGTATTACTCTGTAATAGTATTAATATTTTGCTAATTGAAATTTCCAAAAAAACAGATAAGGAATCAGAGTTAATAATTGACTTCGGTAAACCATTTGATTTAATGTGTTCAAGTGCGAGATAGATACATGTATTTGTGTCCTTAAGTTTGAATAAATAACGTATATAGAGTTATTTCCCTTTACCTCAGTACTGATCACGTATAAATCGTCGTAGGGAAGATAACTCATTATATTTGACCCGCCTCAGTTAAGACGATTTATATCAATATCGTCAAAAGAAATTATTTTCAAAGGTAAGCTAGGTATATAAGAGCGATGATGTCATCTTTACAGCACTAGGGCTAGAAATATGGCATATAAGGAGAGTTCGAGAGTATGATCATCAAACGGAGAAAGATAACGATAGTGTTGATGAATTGGTTCGGCTCGAATGCATAATACTATTTACTTATCTTATGTCGATAAAGTGTTTATTCTTTTCAGTTAAGTATTGATAAAGTCTAAATCGTTGAATGGAAGATAACTCTAACTATTTTACTTACCTTGGTTAAACGATTTATATCAATATCGTTAAATGACATTTTCATTTATTTTAAATTTTACTACTGAAATAAGCAACAAACCATTTTTTAAATTGGTACATCCTCGCGATTGAACCCTTTACTTGGGGAACCAGAACAAATCTGCTGCATCTACCGCAACATAGAGGTACTTTGCATTTCCCTCTACCTTTAATTACCGTATTTTTCCTAGTGCCGTTCTTGACAATACATCGATTTTGACTTTAACGCTGAAAGTTCGCCCAAGTGAGGTAGGTTACGGGTTCTGTCTATAGGCCGTGACATACCCAGGTCGTTAAAAGTGGAAGATGTTATTTCCTTCTTGACATTCAGCATCTAGGGTAATGCAATCAACCGGTTAAATTGTTGTCAGTATAATGTGAACGGGCGGAAGGCTGTGCTGGGTCAATCTGATTAAAACCACGAGTAGTGGGAGTGGAATCAAAGATCTGGTTTTAACCAGATTGGTGCTGGGTGCCTTCGTCATGGTATTTCAGTGAGGTAGCACTATAGAGAAAATACAACAACATACCCTGCCTCCGGCATACATACACATTTGCTCGCCTACACAATACACATGGAGCAACTTTGCTACAGTTACATCTAAACGAAGTTAAGGGGATGCTACTATATACAAGAAAAAACTCAAGGCAATTGGACAAGGAGTCTTAATCGTATTCGCTTTCGACCCTTACCAAACCTTAGTCCTTTGGATAACTATTGTATATCAAACCAGGCTACATAACATTCTCCATTCTATGCTTTTTGTAATTGTTTTAAAAACATGTTACATTAGGAGCACCAGGGGTTGTTTGGATGCTTTTGTTTATTAGGAAAGTCAATACTTTTGGTCTTGTGTCTTCTTAGTGTCATTTTAATATAATTGTGTCAACTATCGTTTTTTGTCTTGTGCACTGTTGGTGACGTATACAATTCTTCCATACCACGTTACAAAATGGTCAGAACTGTGACATATATTCCTATCTTGTTCATCCATGCTTTTATAATTGCCTCCTAATCCAACTGACGTTGTTATATTCATGTTACATTGCTTTGAATATTGAAGAAACAATACTGTTAGAAAGAATCTGATGCTACATTGTACATCAACAACTACCCAAGAACGTCAGACAAACGTCGATTTAAGATCCTTTAAACAATAATAGAGAAATATGTCAGTTACTTTGTAATTTCTGTTTTATTTCCCATTTAATAAATCTTACCATATGTGTGCTACTTCTTGTATTTTGACACAATTACTCTGTTCATATATCCAGACGAAACACCGTAATTATTAGGGTAGTATGCACTCGGCGCAAAACCACCTCTGGTTCCATAACCGTTTCCGATAAAATTATTACCCCCCGGATAAAAAACATTGCCCGTGCCTGCACGACCACTTGCACACCACAGTCTTCTGCAGGCGGCGGTCATACACATAGCACATGTCGGATTCCATGGTACCGGGGGAAAAATATCTCTTCCTCCTCCTCCTCCACCTCCTCCTCCTCCTCCTTCGTAACTTCCACCTCTGTTTCCCATCCCACCTGTCCCTCCGCGACCGCTGGAACAATATCTCAAATAACACTGGTAATTTCCGATTCGTATACAAAGAGCACATAAGGCGTCCGTTCCAAATCCTCCAAAACCTCCTGCCCTCGAACTGGATCCGTCTCCTTCCGTTGCTGGTCCACCAACTTTATATACAAAAGAAATATTGTATCATTTATTTCACAAGTAATATCTGTGTAATCGGAATTATTCATCAATATATTTTGTCCCTGCACATACAGTGAAAATAATATCCAATCAGAAAGCGGTTAAGGCATTGGCCTTGATTGTGACGTCATAGAACTCCAACGTGATAACCCCAAGGTCTCGAACCCATACAATTATGACATTCGGATGTATTTCAACTCCCACTTATTTATCAAAAGAGCTAGACTTTACATTTTCAGGTTTTGAAAATGAATTTAATATAGTATTTAAACTTTTCCTTTTTAATATAATACGCATTTCAGTGGTTTGGTAGAATACATTAAAAAATCATCTCTTGCTGAGGTTAAGGTTAAATACTCTACTTTTCTTAAGAATATGATAGCTGTTATTCATTGGAATCCATTACATATAATCTGTGTATGCGTCCTTTTTAAAATTTGTCAGTGTGATATGGATAATAAATGCTTAAAAATGTAATGCATTGAATTTCAAACTTCCGCAACTTTTATACCACTTTTTGCAACTCATTGTGAAATATTGTGTTTCGATCTGTGAAAGAGGGGTACATTTATTTTCACACCCCGACCCCCGGGCTTGTTTTGATGGTTTGTCATTATTACATTTGACCTAGATTTACATAACGTTAGTTGTTATTGGTAATTGAACAGAAGGCGCTTACCCTCCTGGAACATATGGTTGCAAAGGTTTTAATGTAAATATTCTCTCTCACCAAACTATTCCCTAGTGTTTTCGGTTTTGAGTACGAATAACGGTTTTGTTTACACGTTGGCATTCTCTTCGGTTTCATGTTACGATTTTGTTTTGTTATGTACTTTATCACTTTACATGCATAGTTCAACTAGATATAGATTAAAAGTTTAATAGAAATCGTTTTCAATGGACTGCCTGGCCTATTTGGTCTAAAACGGTTCCGGTTTTATATAATTATTTTTGAATATCACTCGTGATGCCGGCAGAATGTCAAGATAAGTCGACAGGACAAAATCCTTTAATCAAACAATTGCATACATATATTGTATTCAAATAGATTTAAAACACTTAGTGATCAGATACTGGAGGAAAAACAATTTATATCAAAGTATTCTTACAGTAACAAGATTAACTTTTAGGAAGGTTAATACAATTAGTCTATATATGTCTTACAATGTAACTTCATCATTTGCCCTTCAGACCGTAAGATATATTTCATGATCAAGTTTAAGTTTAAAATGAATATGAAAAACTTGTTCATGTTTTACTTACATTAATTATTTGCAAAAATAAAACTCTAAAAAAAGTTTTAACATCTTCATGATTTAGTCATTTATAGTTACACGATTTCTATAAATATGGCAGCTTTTAGTTGTGTAGAAAATAGGTCAGGACGTGTAATAACACGTCTCACCTGTCTGGTAAGCACCGCATACACGTACAAATACAAACCTGACCACAAATGACACGCAACAGAGAGAAAACATCGCCACATCGTTTATCTGAGCACTAGGTTTCGCCTCCGGGATATATTGCGGTTGTTCATTTTTTCTCGTGGTTTCCTGTTGTTCCATCTTTTTGTGTCGAGTTTGGATAATGTCCTAACCTTTTGACGATGCAGTATATTTCTTTCGTTAACTTTTCTTTACGTTTTACCATAATTTTATATGAATCTTAATAGATAAATTAGAATATATATATATATTCATGTATCACATGATATTCCTAGATACACTTATCATACGGTATTATGTTGTTATTTTATACTCTGATAAATGTTAAGGGTTATTAAAATATATTTTTGGCAACGACTCAAATGGTGCTGAATAATTAAGGCTGATTATTAGTTATTATAAAATGTATTTTGTCGTGGCGAAATTCTGAGATAACTGGTTTGAAAAGATAATTTGACGAAACATGTAAAAATGATTTTAAATGATATCAAATAGTGATAAAAATGTAAATAAATAAATAAAAGCGATATATAACATAAATATGAAATGATCGTTCAGGCATTTTTTTTCCAGGTTAGATAAAGTTCATTGCTTGAGGTTAACATATACTAATGATAAAATCAACCGCGTGCCAATATGCAAATTATAAGAATTTGATTCGAATAATGACTGAAAATGCAATGATTTTTTTAATCGAAATACTCGTGTAGAAACTTCCTCCATCACCTACATAGAAACACTGAGAGATAGAGAAAACTACATGGATAAAGAGATTACCCAACAAGCAAAACAAAAACAAAAACAACAAAAGAATTTAAAAAAAGTTTTACCTGTGAAGCCAATTGCATTATCGTTTTCGGCGTCCACTGCGTTTGTTAAAAGGAACAGTAGATAACATGCCAATGGTATCAGGCGTTTAGTTGAATTCATTTCTCCAATGACCTCCCCGAGTCAAGGTATGTCTAAAATACACTTTTAAAATAAGTAAAAACAAACATTTTGTATTAATTCAAATACAAATAGACGCTTCACCGCAAGTTACATCCTGTAAGAAAATAGTTTAGCATGAAGTTGCCGCGCTACTATCTGTTATACTAGACAAGAGTCATGGCATGTTCTTGTTTATTATCATATTGTGGAGGTGATTAAACGAGATAGAACGAGGAAATAAACGTCTTATACAAAAGCTCATTGTGTTATCGTCAATGGATGTCTATGGTTTTTTTTTGGTTTAAACTATATGAACCAAACTTGTTCATTTAAGATTTTGACGAATATGATTGGTTGAAACAAAGATACATTATTTATTAAAACGCTCTGGCCAGGAATATTAATGACCTGCAATGACATTGAAAACATCGGAAAGATATTGAGAATAATTTGTATTAAGCTGCAATCAGAGAATTTAAGTAAAATGTTCAAATGATTTTTCGTACAAGTATTGTCTGTGAGCGATAATTTTGAACCCAAGGACTTTAACATAACTTTTTACTTTAACATATATATTAAATGATGCATTATTTATCGAAACAGCTTAAAAAATATGAGTAATAAAGTATGGTCATACTTACGTTTTCCCTGTAATGAGGCAAACAGCAATACCTGCTATATCAATCCCCTTATATCGACTGGTGTTACAATATTTGCCATACTAAAGGAGAGATAGGTGAGGCGATAAGCCCGAGAAGAGTATCGAAATATTTACCTTAGCTTCACCTTTAAAGTTTCGCCTTACATCGAAAAGTATAAATCGATGGGTTAGCGGTTTAAGCTTATCTCATCACTTGCAGAAATTTAAAATTACAAAAACATCAGTCGTTTGTATTCCTGTTAACCTGACCAGTCTTAATAAATCTTGATCAAAGCGAATACACAATTTTCACCTGGTGTTTCCTGCTAGTTTCCTTTGTAATTTCCGACGAACAAATTTGATGTTTGTTTTATAGTGATAATGACAGTTACAAATGTACATGGCCATTAAATGATGACACGGACATTTGAAACTACAGACGACACATCACAGACACAACATGGATGTTTTGAGGCTAGATCGTTTTTACACTACTACGTAAACCTATGTAATGTCCATTACTTTACATGCAAAATCTGTTTGATATTACTCAGTGATAAATGGAAGTTAGGATCATGGGTGTGAACTCGTTTAAAGTGACTAAACGAATCTATTTTAAGAAATAGTTATTTTTGTCACAAAAACACGTCGCATTGAAAATGATTTCCCGGTTAAAATGCAAACATTGTTAAAACCGTTGTCATTCTAAATTATACATCAAAATCAATGAGATAAGGTCAACATAAATCCCAGATAGAAAGAAAGAAAAATACAGCTATTGTCAAAGCCCAAACTACAGATTGACGTATTGAATATATTTAAGAAGAAGAACGAATACTCATCTTGACCGATTTGCTTTTAATTTGCTCAAGAGTTTAAGGGAACATTAAACAATTCAAAATTTTCGATGTCATTCTTGCACTAAAACCTTTCCTCCTTGTTGCATTGATTTCTATTACTTCCATTATGACGTCAAAATAAAGTGCAATTTGAACATGTTACGTCGTCATTATATTGTATGAAGTCACAATAGGAATTATTTCCTGTTTTCGTACGAATAATATTGAACATGGTTCAATCCACTGAAGAGCAAGGAAACTATATGATCAAACAATTTTGATATTTTAAATACATTTTTAAAAAAGCTTAAACATACAGTTTTCTGTTTATTTATGCGTGACTTTCATATATGTTATAGTCAAAAGACAAAAGGTTGATTGTTACACATTTTTTATTCAATACGGAACAGTCTAGACAGCCAGACTGATTGTCTTTCATATAACTTGTGTTTAGAGTTATTTTCTTTAACGTCCTATTAACCCAAATGCCATTTAAGGACGTCGCTCCATGTGTGTAATGTATGGATTTATATGTGTAAGTATGCTTCGTGCAGTATACTAGTGTATTTGCCTCCTTGTGATAGCGCAAATTGATATCGACTTGATATAGTGCTTCATCACTGAAATCAAAACCTTAGAATTCCATACAGTGTTTTAAAGTGCTGTATATCTGCGTATGAGTTTATATCAAACTGTGTGTACTTATTAAGTGCTATTCATCTCTCGTTAGACTAAATATATGTATGCTGTTATTTAAACCGCTGACAGAAAGGTAGCTTTTCGGTTGTCAACAAAGAGACAAAAACACATCTCCGGGACATGCTGTTTGTGATCGGCTTGGGTAAAAGGATCTCATAGTTCATAATTTAGATTTGCTAGGAAGTTTCCGTGTGGTACATAACACCTTATGTCAGCTATTTAAAAAAAAATGATATATTTATCATCGTGTTAGTTCAATTTCAACAGATAAAGATTTTGTATTTGACATAAGAGAAAGTGAGAAAAAACTTTAATGTATAATATTTGTACATATAGGTTATCATTTAAATCAACCTACTGAAAACTCTTCCTTTCAAGAACGCTATTACAATGTAAGTTATGTTTTTAATATTTGATACATACATGTAGCAGGGTTGTGAAAGTGTTGTGTATCTGTAGAAAGTCCCTTAATTAGGATTTGTTTTATGTCTACAGGCTTTGCAAAGTCATAATGAATAGTTAAATATTCTCCTTCTCCTATTATACAACATGTACCTGTCCAGTCATTTGTGTAACGTGTGTTAAGAAACAGCACTGACATTACACATCACTCTTTCCTCACTGCTCATTCTGCCCCTAGAACAACAATTACTGTTACATATTAGGCTTGTTAGGCAGCGCCACAGAACCTCAACAACACATGTTGGCATTACACCGAGAACGAGATTTTATTACATCACGTGACATTACACAAATGGCAAAGCCTTACATCTGGACCAACTATCCGATATCAAATACATAACAGTAGCCTCCCCTTAACTTTCATTTTGGATATAACTATAGCACAGTACGTCGAGGACGAATCTATCAATTCCTAGAAATGTTCATCGTAAATCATGGTATTTAGTGTCAAATGTCCTCCATTTTAATCCGTCAGTACCGTTTGTATAATTATACTTTGACTTGTTACGACTATGGATAAATAAAAAAAAATAGAATATCTAAACACTTTTCATTGCATATCTCTGAAACATTGTTTTTTTGTTTGTTTTGTTTTTAAAGGAAAGTGGCGTCAAAGACGTGTTTGTTTGGTGTTACAAGTTTACTGCACCCGGAAAGCGGAAATAATTTACCCTGTCGACATTTTATTTGACGTTCATCATATTTACCTGCTCTCTCCTTGAATCACTAGCCTTCCACTAATGGGTCGTGGGTTCGAGAATTACCTTGGGTAGTCGCCAGGTAATTGCCACAGGTCGGTGGTTTTTCTCCGGCCAACCCAGTTTTCAACCATCACCAAAACGCGGTACATCCTTAAATGACCATAGCTGTTAATATGACGTAAAACACAAACAAAAGAATCAACCTAATCATTGAATAAGACCAGACTGATATGTAATAGTCCGGACGACTACTACTGTGCTGGGTGTCTTTTGCATGGTATCTGAATGAGGTAGCACTCCCGTGTTGGCATCAGATCTTCATGTTATGCACCAAGGGCAAATATACCTTTGGCATCTAGAACAAAGCTACTTTTCCTCATGTTATGCATATTTGACTGCAATTAAGCAGTCATATTATATTGCCACAGTGCTGATAAATCCTTACTGCATCACATTAAAAGATTGACCTCTAGTAGTGAGAAGTAAGTAGACTTTGATTTGTTTTCTCAGTCATGGGAATGAACCTATAACCTTCTTCCATTGGGCGAATGCTCATCGCCAAAGCCAAAATACGATGTTTTGCCAAGTTAAGTACCAGGAAACAAAAGACTAGTTAGGAAGAGTGGAAGGAAAAGAATCCTTGTGACTTGAATATAAAACTTGACTGACAGCTTTATCCACAGGTTATTCTCGTTCTGATCAGCAGAATTTTAATATAAATGGACCCTTTTGGACGTACTTACATTTTGTATTTATACATCAGGTCATGTAAGCAAGTGAACAAACTGTTCTCAAAATATAAAATAAGGCCGTGGAATGTGAAAAAAGTTTTCAGAAGAACAGTTAAAAACAAAGAAATGGCATCCTATAAGATGCATCGAACGAGAGCAGTAAGCTTCATATGTATGTAAATTATCTAAAAATAAAAGCTATAACACTAGACGCGGAAGAAGAAAAAGTAGCAACATTATTGTACTAGAAGCGTAGTGTTGTGATGGAATGGGTCGTTTGCGTTGATGTCAGCTAAACGGTTTACATAACTAAATTTATTTTTAGAGGATTTTCTTCTTGTAGAATTAAAGTCTTAAAAAATGCAATAATGTTTATGATACATAAGGAGATTTGGCATATCGCTTTTGTAGTTGGTTATAAATTCCATTTGGCGACTGTAGCAATCTTTATAAGCAAGCCAACAGAAAAACTAAAACAGAATTATTACCAGTCCAATCATGATGCACCATGCATAATTTAACATTTTTATAAGAAAATATACATGAGGCCCAATGGACCTGCATCGTTCACCTGGTATAAATATCACACTCGTAACCTAAAAAGTGATCTAAAACAAAGCTACAGGCAAAATATCAGTATTTATGATAAAAAGGCATTCAAAAGAACCTGTTGAAAGATTTTAAAAGAATTTACCCCTTTGACCTTGAAAGTCAAACAAGGTCATTATGTTGAACATATCTTATTGGCCTTTATCTCAGGATGCAACATGCAAAATATCACCACTCTATCTTTTTTTTAAATTAAAATTAGGTCATTTAAATATTTATACTTATCCCGCCTCAGACAAAAATCCTGTTGTCCTATTGGTTAAAACGACGTCACATGATATCCAGTATATTTTCATATAAGGTCAGTAGAATCTCACATTAAGTGAGTACGAAAGAGTTATCGTTCTTTGCCCATAAGAGTCAACTTGTAACAAGATGGCGACCAAGCGGTTTGTGCAGACGACAGCCGATGAAATGTTACCTTTAGCAGGCCTATATGGAGCAGTAGGTCAAATTGACTATGAAGTTTACAAAATATGTGATATTAAAGTACCGGTAAATAGCCAAATATGGTGATCAGGACATTTGTGAAATACCGAATTATCTTTGTTAAATTTTTGTTGTTGTTAACAAATTATGTATTAAATTTTATATGTTAAAATTGTTATTGTTGGAATAAATGTTGAATTTTGTATTATTTTGCCTTCGACGGGATAAATTCGCTACACAGTTTGTTAGTGACCTAATACGGAAAAATATTGGGTCTAAAAGAAACTTGTATCGGGCGAGGCGAAGTGGGTCAAGGTCATTCACATGAAAAAGCTCATTCTGGGACTCATGGTTATTCAGAAGAAGTTGTTTAAAGATTTTAAACAAATTTGAACCCTGTGACCTTAGATATAAAGCAGGGTCATTCTCTTTAACAAACTTGTTAGCCCTTGATCCCAGCATAATATTGACCAGATATCAACATTCTAGGCCTTATGGTTATTCAGAAGAAGTTGTTTAAAGATTTAAACATATTTGATCCCCGTGACCTTGAACACATTCAAGGTAATTTATTTACACAAACTTGGTAGCCCTCCATCCTAGTCTGCTACTGACTAAATATCAACATCCTGGGCATTTTGGTTATTCAGAAAAAGTTGTTTAAAGTTTTTAACATATTTGACCTGTATGACCTTGAATATAAGTGAAAGTCATTCATTGGAACAAACTTGGTGGCCCTTCATCCCAGCATACTACTGGCCAAAAATCATCACCCTGTGCATTTTGGTTATTCAGAAAAAGCTTTTAGCATAGTTGACCCCTGTGACCTTGAATATGGGTGAATGTCATTCATTCGAACAAACTTAGTAGCCTTTTATCTCAGCATGCCACTGGACAAATGTCTTCCCCTGGGCAATTTGGTTATTCAGAAAAAGTAGTTTAAAGTTTTT